ATTTGGTTTTCAGAAGGGATTCGTGCTTGACAAATTTATTTTTCGATTATTGCTATTTCCTATCTCATGTACACCCCTTACCCCCTCAGCTCAACGAATGTTGGGGTCGTACACGAGCTGGTCTTCCCGAGGAAAAAAAAAATTCCTGTGACACCATGCTTGACCTTTGGTCGCTTGGAGTTTTACGATAGAAGCGTTCCAGATTTGGTCCACTTGTTTATGCTTATCGTAAGGGAGCCGTTCCTATCGTAAAGCTTTCCGCTCGGAGATAGCGCTTTCTCGCAGAAGAATTTGTCTAAGCGAATTTGGGAAAAACGTATGAATCATGTCGGGAAGCCGAATCAAGAGTCATGAAACGGTAGCAGTGAGAGCGTGGAGATCAAAGTTCAAACGGTTTCATCTCTAGACAAAAGATTTCCTGTTCTCCGTGACTCTAGAAAGTTCTGAATGCCGATCACAATCGAACCGGATGTCAATGACGAAAACAAGGTGAATCGTTAATTGAAGAGAGATCAGTGGACTAAGGGTGAATCGTTGTGGTTTCAATGTGGGAGTGGGTGAGTTGTGGGACGCAAATACTAATGGCAAGATGGTTAATAGCACAAAAGAAAAACAGTCAGAAAACCGCGCGAAATGCCCCACAGTGACCGGCGTTTGTACATGCGTAGGGCGAAGAAAGGGCACAGTGGGACGAGTTCTTTTATGTTGGTGTCAGCTCGCTTCTTATCAACTAAGCTGTCATCATTCAAACTGGAGAGAGAGAGAATTAACTGCTCAACTGCTACCTGATCAGGCGGAACAACCGCCTCATCAGGTAGCAGTTGAAAATGAAAGGCGGGCGTCGTCGTGTCCAGTAGGCGGAGCCGTGGTTTCGTCGCGAGCAGACGGGGCTTTTTTACGTATTTCTGAGCTGCGAAAGTAGTACATGCTCGCAGACAGGATTAATGGAATCGCAGGGCTGTGTAAAGATCACCTTTAGTGTATATAGTTTGCTACATCTGTTTGTCTGTTTTTTGTTCGCAGGTTCGTTTTACCTAAAGAGACATCGAACAGGTCGGCTGAGGGTACGGATAGATAACCCGCATGAGCTATGCTAACTGTAAGACCTGGGGTGCGCCCCGGAAGTGAAGGGGTCTTTGGCGAAAATCCGTTATTCAGTTGCAGAATAGCACTAGGGCAAAAGTTTAGAAATGACGGCGATGAGTAAGCGCACGAAACTCTGAATGCACGCCCGCGATGGAGGGAGCAGGCTCAAAGTGAGCGGTGCTTCCTACAGAAGGCACATTTCACTATCAAAAAGCTGAGAAGTAGCGCTCAAATACCAATGACAAAGTGACATATAAGTAGATAGTGAACAAAAAAAAGAAGTCCTCAGGACTGCCCTATGTAGGACCCATGCCGAAAAACCCTGTGCGAGCAGAAGCGAAGAGAGGGCGTGATTGGACGAGTTCTCACTTGCTGGTATCAGCTCTTTTCCCTCAAAAATTCTAGCTCACCACTCAGAATGCTAAGTGTTTCTAGCGGAACTACCGCACCATCCGGTAGCGGTTTGAAATGAACTTCGGGTGTGGGAAAGGGCAGCGGGCGGATCGTCCTCGTCGCCATCAGTTGGTTCGATATCATGTGTTTTCGAGCGGCTGCTTCCTCTATGCTAGCAGACAGGACTACCCAGTCCAAGAACGGCGTCTGCATATCAAATAAACGGAGAACGTGCTTTGAATGCCGTTTAAATGCCAAATGAGAGATACAGTCCTCATCATTGCGGACCGGTGGGGCGTGTCAGCCAGTATGAGTGTGCACACTGTTGAAGCCGTTCTCAGCCTTTTTGTTGAAACGCGTATGCGACAAAAAGTGGTAGAAAACGAGTAATACGAAGGATATAATACAGTAATGTCACTTGCCCGCTTCAACAACTGGTGCAGAACGACTTTGGCACCGCGCCAAACGCAGCCGCACTGACACGCCCCACCGGTCCGCAATGATGAGGACTGTAGAAGCTCGAGGTGTGTAAGAGTCATGTGTTTAATCGCTATATGTACTTGAAGCGAGTACTGTCCACAGTATCACATTTTTACTCTATCGTGTTGCCCTATGGTGTTCCTGTGGGAGCCTTGGAAAAGTGCGTGCACTTTCCCACACGGCCACAAAAACTGGGGCAGACAAAATTGATAGAGGAAACACTGGAAAATTTTCATCAGATTTTGTTACAGAACGATCCTCTATCA